ATGGTCACACCTCCACATATCTGTGCCCCACACCAGAAAGGCCAGGCTTCTCCTCTCCTGGGCCTCTGCCATCTGGGGAGGCCCTGGCTGGACAAAGGGCACTGACATCTCACTTCTCTTGGTATTCTAGCTATGCTTGGTGGGGGTTCTCACTGCTCAGGGGAAGGCCCAGGGCTGTGAGCAGTCAGACGAAGGCAGGAGAGCCTGTCTGACCCTTACCACCTTCCTGAAGCACACACTCGTGAGCATACTCACACGGATGAAATCAAGCTGGTTTTCATTGCTGAGCATCTCCAGAGAGCTATGTATCTCCTTCAGCCTCTGCAGGGCATCTGATGTCTGCTTGACCTGGGACTCAATGGAGGTTATGAGCTGAGCTGCTTTCCCCTCAACGCTCTCCAGGAAGGTGGCCTTCTCCTCATCAATGTATCTGTGCAGCTCCTGGAACTCCTTCCGGATCACCCACTTGAAGACATCTGCCTCGTTCTGCAGGGAGACAGCAAGTGGCTGTGCAGGACTGCATTACTACGTTCCCTTCACCTGCTTTCTGGTTTCTGAGGCGCCAGCGGAAAAGTCTGTGCATCCCAGCAAGCTGCCCTCCACTTCTGTTCCAAATCAAGAGCATCTCTTCACAGAGGCTAAATGTCTTTCCACCTTGCTGGCCTCAGCACCATGGCACCCCTCCCTTACACCCCGCCCAGATTTTGTGTTCCTGATGCCCCAGCTGGCTTCATCAGAACCTTGGAAGAGAGTTTTCAGATCCCTCTGCTGCCAGGGAACAACCTGTGTCCTGGGCTAAGTGGGGGAAGTGCAGCTCCAGTTTAATTTGGGTTCAGCCTTTCTGAGGATCCCCACTGGGAAGCTTAAGCCTCAGAAGGGATACCAAGAGGTCTCTTTGAGATGTCTACTGTGTGGAAAACAGACACACATCTAAACCAAACATAAACTCAATGTGCAATTATCAGTGTTCTGACTGGGAAGTCTGCTCTGAGTAGGGTGTTTTTCACTGTTATCATCTCCAAGGACGTTCGGTCAAAAAAGCTTTGTCCTGCCAGGACACTCAGTAAAGGTTACATCACCCCTTTGGAAAACAAAAGCCACCAGAGAGGGCTACGTCACCTTTCCCAAAACAGGGCTATGTTTAATCCCCAAGTTTCACGGAGAACAGCAATCTCAGGGAACGGGGTGAATGATAAGCCCTGTCTGCTGCCCCAGGGAAGGGAGAAGAGAGGGAGAGGAAAAGAGGAGGTGAACTGAGGAGACCCAGGAGTAGAGGTTGCTCCAAGAGTTGTGCAGGACATAAGGGACTACGCAAAGCAGGCTCCCTTGGCATGTGGCACTCACTGCAATGCGGCTTTTGTTGTTGATGAGCTTGCTGAAGTGTTCATCCAGGTTCCTCTTGTACTGGTGGACATCGGTTAGCAGCACAGACAGCTCCTCCTAAAACAACAGTAACTCTCTCTAGGACGGTCCTCTCTGCCAGCCTACTTGATCAAAGGCTGTCCTCCTGTGCTTGCCAGCCCCCCAAGAAGCTGTGGCCCTGAAAAGCCATGCTCTTCCAAGCTTTCTGGGGTCCTGCACATCCTGCTGATCACTTGGATCTACAGGATTTGGGGTTGCCAGAGGCAGGAGAACACTCAGAGCATGCCAAGTACTCTTGCCAGGAGCACCACATCTCTGCTCCCGTTCCTGCCCCTCCATACCTTGCACCCATTGCAGCTCTGCACTGGTGACACCCTGTTGGCACCAGTGCCCAGAGTCTGACTCAGGCAGGGTGTTTTTTTCTGGTGCCTCCCACTCTTATCACCCCAGTGTCAGGAGCTGAGGGGAACAGTGGTCCCGTGCTTTTCCATTCCTTGGGCTTTCATGTGATGTTGGGTAGGGGATGCCAGCTATTTACTCTGCCTGGCTGGGGCTCCTGTTTCCCTGCCTCCTTGCTCTCCTGTGGCACCTCGCCTCAGCCCTTATCTCCAGACTCCATTTGATAGTATTTGAAAGCAATCTTGAAAGGTCCCTTTGGCACTACCTCACCCTCAGCTCTCCCCACCGTGCTCTAGCCACCAAAACCATGTTGCCCCCTCAGCCAGGGACATGCTTGACCTGAGAAACAGCTGACCCCCAGCCAAGGTTCCCTGCCCCACATCTGCCTGTACTATGGGACCATGCTGCCCACACTGGCCTCATTTCCAGCCTGTCCCTTCAAGGAAAGGGGACGCTTGCCCAGCTAGTACTGCTGTGCTTGGGGCTGGGACTGCTACAGACACCCTAACCCCCAGCCTGGGGAGTCCCTGCCTGCCAACCTTCATCCGGCAGTATGTGGTAGAGATGGGGGTGATCTTGTGCTGGCGGTGGTTCCCGATGGTGCCGCACAGCCCACAGATCACCTCTTGGTCAGTCTCGCAGAAGAGGCTGAGGGGGTTGTGGTGTGTTGGGCAGGACTCTGGGGCGGGCTCTGCCTCGCCTCGGCTCTGCAGTGCCTCAATGACACGGGCCAGTGTGACGTTGGGTGGCGAGGCGCTGCAGTCCACGGTTTGGCGGCACACGGGGCACAGGAACTGCCCGTCCAGCTCTCCAGACAGTGACACCACACACGACTTGCAGTAAGAATGCCCGCACTGCAGCATCAAGGGCTCCTTGAAGACCTCCAAGCAGATGGGACAGAGGAGCTGGTCTTCCAACTCATCGATGCTCATCCTCCGAGCCATGCTGCCACCTTTTAGCATGGCAGCACAGACCTAGCCTGGGAAAAACAGGTGGGAGATCACTCCTATTGCAAAGAGCAAAGTAAGCACATAAGAACAAAGAGGGCTGAGCATTTGGGTAAGGTGTTTGAGAGACACCTCAAACACCTTCATGCCCCAGCAGCAGCTCAGACAGTTACAAACTCATCATTAGGCTGCGCACAAATTTTAAGATGCATGTTTTAATACAAGATGGGCTTGGGGTCTGACAACATCAGGGGTTAAGCCCTATTGGTTATGCCTATGATGTCAGAAGTCACCACCAAGGTGACCCCTGTGGGGCCTTTGGGAGCTGTATCAGAGTGCATCACATCTGAGGGGAGACCTGTCTATGTGCCAGGGGCTGGCACAGCTGGAGACAGAGCTGAGAGGAATTTTTTGCTGAAAAATTCCAGTAGTGACCCTGGCTTGTATGAATTTCTACATATCTCTTTGGATTTGTTGTTTTAGCCCCTGCACGGCCTCACAAGGATTGGCATTAGCTCAAGTGATACATCTAAGCAAAAACAGAATAAAATCATAAAGAGCATCTTCATCTGCAAGATGGGGACAGAAGCCACACAATAAAACCTGTAAGGCCAATTTCGACTGATATGAGGGTTAGGAGCTTGAGCCAGAGCTTTCAGAGCTGTACCTGCAGCTCACCCCCTTGAAACTCAACATAGTTTCTGGTCCCCACAGTGCTCCATGCTCCGGGCCAGCACTCCTGAGAGACACAAGCTGAAACCCTGCATCTCCCGCTGGCTCTGGGGCCACACATGGCCGTTCTCATGTAAGGTTCATGCAGTATTGGCTCCCCAGCACAGTGGGATGTAAACACCAAGATCCTGAGCCAGATGGGCTCAACTGCCTACACATTGTGGCCAGGACAGCTAGCAACACACCCCCAGTGTAGGGAGGGCATTGCCACCTGGACGAGCAACAGCAATATGTGGCCCAGGCCCTGAAGGTGACACTGCTCTAACTGTGACAGCCTGACAGCATTGCACATGTCTGCTTCTGAATATAAGCTGGTAGAACTTTTATGGTCTCCCCATTCATGTGAAAACAAACCTGAAGTCAAAGACAGACTCGGTAAGTTCTCCAGGGAAAGGAGAGGCAGTGACTTGAGCTCAGCCCTTATCAAGCATAGCATATGGGAGCTTGGTGAGGAATCAAGAATAGCTCCAATGTCAGCCCAGGAATGGTCAGATACCCATAAGAACCCGCAGGGGAAATCAGCTTCAGCTGCTACCTCTGAATCATGGAGAACCCCCCTGACAGCCACCCACTCACCACACCACTCACGTGCCCCGCACCGTGTCCTCTCCACACTGGTTCTTCTTGGCACATGGAGCCTGATGGATGTCCCTTGGCTTTTCCTGGCCTGGTGGAAGATTTCAGCCCCGGTGGAGGGGCAGATTTGGCAAGCAGCAGGGGCGGTAGCTTCTCAGCAGCAAGGGAGCTGCGCTGGCCACCCCGCTACTCCACTGCTGTGGCATCAGCCCCGCTGGGGGTGCACCTGCTTGCCTGGGTGAGGCCAGGGAGCTGCAGGGCCAGCAGCAGCAGACGCAGCAGCAAGGCAGCAAGCGCTGCTCGCCCGCCGCCTGGTTCTACAGCGCTGTTGGCCCCTGTCCCCTCCTGGTACACGCCAGCCCTTTGTTTGGTACAGGCATGGTTGTCAGGTGACTGTGGGCAGCTATTGGAGCTCTGATAAGGCAGGACGGGGTGGTGCTGGCCTCGGGACTGGGTGTTTGCCACGGGACGGGGCATTCGCCTCGCAGAGGGGCTGGGTTAGGTGCATCCCACGGCGGTTCTGGTCACCCGCATCGCTTGGATCAGGGGACACGCTTTCACCAGAACACTTTCTTGTCAACTAAAACTCTTCTTTGGTTAAAATAGGTTTCTTTGTTCGTTTTGATGGTGGCAGTTGGTTGGTTTGGTTTTGGTTTTGTTAAAACCATTTAATTCTTTTGGAAAAGACCAGGAGAAAACCCCAAGCGAGTGTTGTTGCTCCGATTTCAGACAAGGCATGCATGTGCTTTTGTGTGACCGTAAAAAAAAAAAAAAATGTAGTTTTGTCTGTGTGACTCTAAAAAAAAAACCATCAACAACAACAACAAAAATCCGAACTATAACTTTGCGTTTACACAGCTGCGTTTGACTTCCGGCCCCGCCCGCCGAGCCCCTTGCCGAGCCGCGTTGGGGAGCGGGCCAGTCCGGACTGCATCCCCCAGAGTGCACCGCGAGCCCACGTGACGCCCCCATTGGCCAGCAGCCGCGCAGGGGCAGAGGCGCCGCGCGTGGCTTTAAGCGGCGTGCCGGGCCGCGCTCGCTCCTCGGAGCGCTATTGGCTGGGCCGCGGCGCGGGCGGTGACTGGGGCGGGGCTCCGCGGCCATGCGGGGCGGCGGCGGGGCCCGGGCAGGGCTCGGGGCGAGGCCGCGGCGCTGGGGGCCGTGGGCCCGGGGCCTGCAGGACCTCAGCGGTGACGGGGGGGTGCGCAAGGAGGAGCTGCGGCCCGGCACCGGGCAGCCCGCGCCTCCCGCCGCCACCGTGGCAGGTACCGCTCCCGGCCGCTTAGGGGGAGCCCGAAGCGGAGCCCCCGGGAGCCGTGGCGGCCCCGTGCCGCTCGCAGCGCGGTGCGGGGCTCGGCCTTGGTGTGCGGGCCGGGGCCGTGCAGGGCGCTGAGCCCTGGGGAGGCCTCCCGGGGCCCTGCCGCGGGGAGCGGCTGTGTGCTCGGCGCCCCTCTGCGCGGCTGGGCCGGCAGCCGGGCGCTCCTCAGGGCAGTAGCGTGTGGTCGGGGCAGGAGCTTCAGAGTGCCTCTGGTTTGCCTTAGTAAGGCTTCCTGCTTCAGAGACCGTCCAGGCTCTCTTGCCAGTTTTTTGTAGTGCTTGGGATACTCTGCTCTGCTTCTTGTGGCTGACCTTAAGTGAAAGGGCATCCTGACCTTCAGCAAAGCAGGTTTTCCAGGTCCCAGCTGCATTCACAGTACAAAGAAGTTTGAAGCTGAAAATGGTTCCAGTGTGAGGGCTTAGTTCTGCAACAAAGGAAGCCTATTATAGTACTTTATTTTTTTTCCCATATTTGAATTATAACTGGAGTTAGCCGTACCATTCCCCAGACAGTGGCAGAGTTCTGAGGGGGTATACTTTCTCCATTGTTCTTCTTTTTGGGGTTCAGGCTCTGTTTGGGAATGACTTTGTTACATCCTTCCCCAGATGACTGGGGCATTTTAATTTCTCAGCTGGAGGTTTCCTTCTCTTCCTGCCCACAGCTCACCAGTTTTTGAGACAAAACTGCATTTTCTACTTCAATAGAAATTGAGAATGCAAAGTAGCGATTTTATTTGGTGTTGATGTTAAAACACATTCAACCACTTGGCTTATTGTATGTGGCCAATTTTTTGGTACAAATGTGGGGCTGGTTGTCCCCTCAGCAGAAGCGGGGGGGCAGGGGGGGAATTGCAAAACTAACTCCTAGCATGCTGCTGCTGGTGGTGTTTGGTGGTGGACATGAAATCAAGCTCTTGCTTTTCTCTTCTCCCTGCTCCGTGTTTTGGGCTGTGCAGTGAAGTACTCTGGGTACCTGGAACATGCAGATGAGCCCTTCTGCACAAACTGTACTACGAAGCTTCCTAGGTTGATGAAACTTGGAGAAGGTAGGCTTGTCCTGGGCTTCATGGGGTCATAAGGACCTGCCTGTTAAGACATGGTAATTTAAATGCACTTTAGTATCTTTAGGTTTGGGTTGTGTTTTTTTTGTTTTTTTTTTTTTTCTTTTTGGAACCTTTAAAACTACTGAAGGGGGTCAAAATGCATCCTTCAGGTAGGTGGTGGTTAATCTAGAATTGATAGTCATGCACCTCTCCCCACAATGGGAGTGGGCAGCTGGACTTACGCTGTTGGTAGTAGTGCAGGTGCTTCCTGTCAGACCTACTATAGCAGATACAGATTTTGATGTTTTTAAATCACCAGAGAGGAGGCATTGCTCAGTTCCACAGAATGCCTTGATAACCTCAATTATTCAAATATCAAGGTGATTTTGAGATGTGTGATACAGTGTTTGCTGTGAGCTGTCATAACTGTAGGGAACTGACTGCTGTAGGTGGTGGTATGTGAACACTGGGCCTTTTTTGCCTAGACCTTAAGAGAAATTATTTGGAGTCTGAGGGTGGATTCTGGGTTGGGGATTCTCATGGCCTTCCATTTCTTGTTGTGACAGACATTACACTGAGGGGCCTGGAAATTGGCCTGCTCACAATGAAGAAGGGAGAGGTTGCAAGATTTGTCTTCACGCCAGTTTATGCCTATGGCCAGCAGGGCTGTCCTCCTCTGATTCCCCCAAATGCTACAGTCTTGTTCGAAGTGGAGATGTTGGACTTCCTAGATTCTGCTGATTCTGATGCATTCTTTGCATTGACTGCTGTGAGTTGCCTTAATAAGGCTTGAGGCATAAATCTGGAGACTCGGCCTTTGCTGTCTTTCCCTTCAGTTGCTGTGTATCATGTGTTACATATGTTTGTTAAGCTTCAATGGAGGTGAAGTTATCCAGGCCCTGGGCTGCTGGCTCCAGTCAGATGCAGATGTATGCCCGTTAGTGTTCCCCTGGCATGCCTTGCCCTGCTTACTGCCAAGTGTAGAGGGAGAAGCTGGGTGCTGCCTTTATTTGCTCCACTGTGTTGGAGTCAGTGAACAACTTACCTTTATTTTTAGCTGTACAAAAAAACCCATGGTTTCACTAGGGGGCACCAGCTTCCAGGAAGTTTTCTGAAGTGGCAGGAACAGTAACTAACTGTCACTTTAAAAACAAAACCCTTTTTAAGTCTGCAGTGTTGAAGTGTCCCCCACCCCCCACCCTTTGTCTTTACTTTTTGGCTGCTTTCCCAAGTGCTCCTTCACTGTTCACTTTCCTCCCTGGTGAGCTGTGGTGTTATTGTTAATTCCCCCTTTTCATGTGAAAGGCTTTGGGCTGTGGTTGAGGGTCAGTGATTGGGGCACAGGCAGCAATGCTGGTGGAGAGAGGCCCTTCTTATTCCTTCACTGCTCTTGCAGAGGCCACTTCTTCCAGATGCAACTCTGAGATCAAACCACTGTTGCATGGGGGACAGCGTACTCCCTGTTTTGTCTGTTATCCACCCTTTCTTGTTTGTTCCTCTCCTTGAGCTGATTCAAAGTTGCAAACCCAGGGGAAAACCTGTCCCTCTTTTTTTTTTTGTTGCTGTTCTTTTTTTTTTTTTTTTCTTTGCTGGCTTGGTGTCCTGTGTGGTATCAGGCTGGTCATAGAGCTGGCAGCCACCCAGGGTGATGTGGCACCACTAGAGCAATGCAGCCTGTCAAACAGCTTCACCTTTTCTGCCAGGAATAGTGTTTTTGTATTTATGGTCTGTTCTGTGCTAAGCAGATGAGAGCAATGGGCAGGATTTAAGAACAAATTTCTGACCCTCCTACCCTGTGAGTTTTTTTTGTCCTGTTGAGCTTCTTGACCTGTTTTTTAGCACTTCTCATTAGGAGTTATTGACAGAACAGTGGCGTGTTTCAGCCTGGAGAAGGGAAATTCCATTGTGGTGGTCTGGCTGGACACTGCAGGGTACCTTGGCAATGGTCTCACTCCTGCCTTGTGAAGGGAAAGGGACTGGGCAGGGGCGTCCTGCCTGTGATCTCTGCTTGTTTTCTTCTATTTGAGCTGAAATTCCTGTGTTTCTTTATACAGGAGCAGCAAGATACTTTTCCTCTACAAAAGGTGTTGAAAGTGGCAGATACGGAGAGAGAGTTTGGCAATTACCTCTACCGTAAGCAGTGCTTTGAGGGTGCCAAAGAGAGATACAAAAGGGTATGACTCTGGAAAAATGTGTTTTCTGTCTGTGGGCTGTGAAAGTGGTAATTATTTAGTGCTAGTTCACAGTAATGAGTACAATTCAAAGATTACACAACTTAATTACATGTTCAATATATTCAGTTTGTTATTTAAGAAGTTATCTGAAACACTTGCTTTTGTGTGAACAGCAGTAATAAAGGGAGGAGGAGGGTTGGCAGAAATACGTAGAACCTTTTTCCTTCAGACTTGCTCCCTGTGGGCCCTAGCTGAGGCAGAGTGCATCTCAGTGTCTGTGTGAGCCCTGAGTGGCTTTTGTGATGGACTGTTAAAGTGGAGCCTTTCTCAGCTTTCATGGCAGCTCTTGCTGAGAGATGTTATAAGGCAGTACAACCTTGTATTGCAGCAGAATCCTGCTTAATGCTGAAAGTAATCTAGAGTCTCCATGTTCTAGGAATAGAGGTATCACCAGCACCTGGACACTCAACTTCTAGCCTCCCATTTGGGAACCACAGAATACTTGAGGTTGTAAGAAACTTCTGGAAATCGTCCAGTTTCAACCCCCTTCTCAAGGTCGTTAAGAGCAGGAGGTTGCCCAGGATTGTGTCCATTCAGGTTCTGACCATCTCCAAGGATGGAGACTCCACAGCATGTCTGGGCAGGAAAATACTCAAGTTCCCAAACTGGAATGCATTTGTCTTTGTTTCAGAAGCAGTGAGGCTTTGAGATGTTTTTCTTCCCTCCATTTAAGATTGCTTTCTCTTGGTATTTTTAACAACAGCAACAACAAAAAATTCTTTCTTCCTAAAATACTGCTTTTTCACCTTTATTTGTAGTCTGGGTAACAGGTGTATTTTTCTGCTGCTCTCTAGTTCCTCAGTAAGTTTGCTGGAGTCTTGTGTCTGAGTTGGCTAGTCATGCAGGGAATGCTGCGCAGTATATTTAGGGTTTTTATTATTATCTTTTAACTAACAAAGATAAATACAAACAGATGTAGCTGGCTGATTAGGATGGATTTATCACATTCCATAGTAGATTTGCTGTGCACTTGTCCTTTTCCCTGTCTTCTCAGGCATACTCAATCCTTGGTCGCAGCCCTTCCAGTGTGTCAGAGCAGTGTCAAATTGATGCTTCCAAGTTGTTGGTGCTCTTGAATCTGTCAGTTACCTACCTGAAGCTGGAACATCCTGACCGAGCTTTGATGTATGGGGAAAAGGCGTTGGAGATTGACCACAGAAACGCCAAAGCGCTGTTCAGGTGTGGCCAGGTAGGCAAAAAAATTTCTCTGGTAACTGCATCAAGCAATGACCCAAAGTCTCTGCCTGTGGAGAGTACCTAGAATACACTGAGAGCCACTAAATTAATGACTAAGCTCCTGCAGCAGTCTGATTTTTCTGCATCTGACCTTTCAGAAAATCTGGCTCTGTAAATCTGTCACAAGTCTTTGCTTGAGGGATTTCTGAGCTACCTAGGTCTGTCTTAGAAATGCTTGTAGTCATACATATTTCTGTCTGAAGAGCAGCAGTGAGTCTATATTTATCTTCTGGTGCATCTGTCTTCTTTCAATGGCAGGCTTGTCTCTGCATGACAGAATACAAAAAAGCCCGTGACTTCCTGGTCAGAGCTCAGCAAATAGAGCCGTTTAACAACGATATTAACAATGAGCTGAAAAAGTTGGCAAGGTGAGAACTCCTTTCTATCCCTGTGGAAGGAGTCTTTAGACAGGCTGGAAACCTCCACTGAAAAATACTTTGGTGTTCGTTTGATTTAACTTTTTTAAACCAAGACTGTTGGGTAAGTGACTTGGGAAAATGCAGAAGCTCCTGTAGTGTGGAGATGGTTGGTTCAGAGGTTCTGCACACAGTGGTTACAGGTGATACGTGAGAAGCTGAGAGCATCCATTCTTTCCAGAGGGTTTCTTGCAGAGAGGGATGTGTGATACATTCCATCTGAGTAGGTGGATTGGTCTGATGGCAGGGAAGTAGGGAGCTGCTGAAATGCCTCAACTAATGAAATGCAGTAGCCTAGCACCCAAGATAATAATGTTCTGCATTAATACAGATTTTCACTTTCTTTAAGATGTGTTGGCTGATTACAGCAATTTTTTTTTGCACTGCAAGTGCTTCAGAGTTTCACTGTACAAGACTACAAATACTGATGTTCAGCTGTGGGAAGATCTTAAAAGTGAATTTCTTTCTGCCTTGGTGGTGATAAATGAGCAATCCCAAAGGCAAACTTTCCCTTTGCCCACAGGCTGAGTATAGCACAATCCTGCCAGCCTTAGTCATGCCCTCACCCCCTGAAAACATGACTAACACTAGTCTCTGTCCTCACTCTGTTCTTTTGTTTGAAACTGGCAAAAGCAGTTGCTGGTTCCCAAAAATGTATGCTGCACTTCTGGCACTGTTCAAACATAATGTGATGAAGACCCAACTTCAGAGATCCCAAAGCTTCCCCTGAATAGGAAGGCTCTTTTCTGTTGCTGCTAGGCATTTGCAGCAATGTTTGTAGGGAGCAGTCACATCTGTAATAGGAATAGTTGAAGTGGCTGGTGCAGCCAGTTGTGTGGGTCTTCCCAGGGTGACATTTTGCTAGAGCACTGTACTTGTACATCTGTCCTCTATGTCCAAATCACATGTAACACATGGCTTCAGATTTCTTCTCTTACTTCAGGATTATGGATAACCCGAAGGTAGTAATAGCTGGTGGCCTGGAGATCTGAAGTATGCTACTTCCACTCATCCTCATCGGCCTAAGTACCTTGCTACCAAATACTAGGTGAACACAGTTATCAGATAGCTCTGGATGACTAGGTGGCTGCTCTTGGAGGATCAGTTTGCAGGTGGTATCAAAGACCCATGATACGGTATTAAATATCCTGATTCTAGAAGCCTTGTGAATTGTCTTAGACTCATTCAGAATATATTGGCTGGTAGAAGAAAAATCTTGCTAATAATTTTGAGCTTGTTCTGCCAGGGAGCAACAAGGCATTCTGTCTTCAGAGAAGCAACAGGCAGACTTGTCAGCTCTGAGTCTGGAGGTAGCAACATGTGCTACTAACGTGTGTTGCAGTAAGCTGGGTATGTGTTAAACATCTGTCTTGGAGTCTCTGCTTTGCTGCCAGTTAAAACTGGTGTATTTGTTGCCTTTACAATGACAAAGAGTGGAATTAGTATGAAATTGATGAAGATGATGATATTGGGTGTTGTTAGTCATGCCACACCTCAGTCTGGATCTCTGTAATGTTAACAAGCTGCCTTGCCTGTGAAAACCTGTAATGTCATCTGGCAAAGGCTTCAAAAGTGGCATATGAATCAAAATCTTTTTCTTAAAAGCTTTTCACTTCCTTTCTGAATACGCTTACAACACTCCTTTTTGCAAAGTTAATCAATAACTACCTTTTGGTGCATAAAACTGAACTTCAAAAAGGACACATTTAACAGCTAAGCCGGGTTCTTGGCAAAATTCACTTTGACCTGAGAAAAACAGGCAGAACCCTGGGCACGTATCTTGTGGAACATATCTGGTACCAGCTGTAGCTGTTTTTTTTGTTGTTTTTTTTTTCCAGCCATTGATCCCTGGGACAGTGCCTAAACTGAGTCACCCTCTGGCTTAGGGATTCTGTATCAGTGAGTCCTTGTTGCTGGTGAGGTGGAGTGCAGGGTGTGGAGGGTGCTGTGCTTCCTCTTGGCCATGCTGGTGCTGGGAGAAGCGGTGATTAAAATAGAGTGGTCTGCATAGCTTTTGACATGTAAATGTGATGCTGGCAGGAAGATGAGATTGGAGGAGGAAGCATTTGCCCTGTCATCTACACAGTCTGGGCATGTGTCATTGCTGTCTCTTACCTATCCTCTGCCCAGATTCAAAGGGTCAGTGGTAGATAGCCATTAGCAGCAGTTTGCCAAGTAGCGGAGCACCTGGACCACGTGTCCTGCTAGGCACTGTAATGGCTTGCACAAGGAATGGTGAAAATGAGGGGGCACCAAACTAGACCTCAGGATACAGCTGGGGGTTCCTCTGCATCATCTCACACTTGCAAAACTAGAGTAGAAAGCATCAGGCTTCCAGAAATCAAATGATCGTAGTAGCTAATAGGCACCAGCAGAGAAGGGACCCAAGGTCTGGGAATGAGGCAGAATTAATTCCTGGACATGGCATAAGGAAGTGGCTAGAACAGCTGCTCCTTTTCTAGCAGCACACTCTTATACTAGGCTAGTTTATTTTAAAAGTGTGTGTGTGTATATTTTTTCTGGTTGTGGCACTGGCAGTTGGGTGGGCAGTTCACAGCCCATGCTTCCCATGTTTGTGCTCTGCTTTCCAGCTGCTATAAAGACTACATGGAAAAGGAGAAAGAAATGTGCTGCCGAATGCTTGCCAGTCTCAATTCTTCTCATGCATGACCAGAAAAAGGTAATCAAGTTGTGAAATGGCTGAGGTCTCCTAAAGCCACTGTCTTCTCTGGATTGGGTTTTCTGGTGGTAGTGGGGAAACCTGCTTCTCTTCTGCCTGGGAGGATTTTGGTGACAAAAGGTAAGTTAATGGGTATGTGCGAAGGGAAGGGGTAGGACAGCAGGGTGAAATGTTACTGCACTGTGTGCTTGGGGAATCTTTCCTGCCAGGAGGGCTGGCATGGGACAGGAACTTAAAACCAGCAACACTTGGGTAAGTTTGGTTTTGTTGTTTCCTGTGCTGCTCATCCCAGTTATTCCTTGTTAGAGCCAGGGGGAGAAATAGCTATGTAGTCTTGTTTCTCTGCCAATTAAAAGAAAAAAAAAATTGTTTCTGTCAAACTTAAGATTTGGATTTCTCCCTCCCCTCCAGCATTCCTGTCTGGAGCTGCTGGAATGCCTTACTTCAGAAAAAATCTAAATATTTAATTTCTCTCTTTTTTAAATATTAAAAAACCTGTTTGTATATAAATTTTCAAATAGATGTTTTGGACTCTTTAAAGCCTTAAATCTTCTAGCAAAATTGACAGGTTTATAAATGCACAAAGGCTCTTTGATCTTTTTTTTTTTTTTTGTCAAAACCTTCACCAGGGTATAAGGGGGAGTGAAAACCTTCACTGGTCTCTTGCCTCAGGGTAAGCCCTAGGGAAAGGGTTGTGGAAAATGACAGCAGCCTTCTGTCAAAGCATCACCAGCTCAGGTCTGTCAGAGGTTATATTGAGATAGAGGGATACTGCCTGTTGCCATTCTACTTGCTGAAAATGAGTATTAGCAGCATTTCCATCATCAAAAGTGTGAGTGTAGGATTCAGCTGTGGTATTTTAAGGTTGCCTCTTTCTCTTGCCTGTGGTTGTGAGGAAGCTAACCCAATATTTGAGGAAGAGGTTTGACTGCATGCCTGTTTCCTAAAGCAACACATCCCTCTTCTGGCTGTATGTGCCTCTTTGCTGTAGTCTTTACCCATCTTGTCTCCCTTGTGCCCCGATCATAGCTGCATGTTGCTGAGCTGCCTCAAAGCACAAATTCTTCTCTGGATTCAGGATGAGATGGTCAGATCTGTTAGCAGGTACCTACCCCCAGACACATCGCTATGAAAAGGGGTTTGTGACTGGCTGTGGTTTTACCACTGTGTGCAGGAAGTCTGTGGCTGCAGACTTGCCGAGGAGGCTCTGAGTCTCAGTTTACTGAATTTTAGAGACTTGCAATTGGAAAGCCTGTATGACTTCTTTTGTTTTTGACTGTAGTACATAGCAGTGCCTGACCTGGGGAACTTCTTGTGTCAATCTGTGCATCAGCTGGCCCTGTGTCATAGTGGAGCTCTGAGCGTACGGAGTCATCTGCTGGGCCAGCAGGCAGGTCATCTGGTGGTAAAGCAATGTAACCTCTTCTTTCCCAAAGAGAGGCTAATGAAGATACTGATTTCTACACAGTACAATGGAAAGTAGCTATTGTTGCAAGTGGGAAAAAAAGTCTTCAGTTCATGGAGACTGAGAAGTACAAAGGAGAAGCCTTTGTCTGAGGCAACCTTCAAAATTAGGTGCAACTATCCATCAGCAAGATCTTCTCCACTGGCTCTGTATATTTGCACTGATGCATGTGTACAGCACTTTCCTGGAGCTCTGCCTGCTTAAACAGCTGATTGTCAGCTGTCAGTCAAAGATTCTGACCTTCCTTGAAGTTGTTTTTTAAAGTCTTCCAGACAAGCTTACGTCATCACCCACATAACAATTCATTGTTAATTCCTTGTAAGAAAAATCTCTTGCTGCTGTGTCTTGCATGAAAAAAAAAAAAAAAAAGAAATATTCAGAGAGGAGCACAACAGGTTCCAGCTGGAGCTCCTTTCTCTGAAATGTGCCACTATCTAGCCAGAATTGAGGCAAAGCATTCTTCAGTGTTTTCTGACAACTTTGTACAAGTTCAGTTTAGGGCACAAACTTACCCAGTCAGTCTGACATGCCTGTTTTATCATTTGTCTTAAGCATTTAGTGAGTAGATGGCCTGTGAATGCTGCCTGTAGCTCACGTTGAATGATCCAGTGGAATTGCAACAGTTAAGGAAAACTTCTGCATACCAGTTGGCAGGTCTGACCCCATGTCCAGCTTACCAGCTGAGTGACTCTGCTGTAGTTGTGGCATTCTCCCTGTCCTGACTCACTGCCATATCCTCTGGTTTGGTGCTCCTACCGAGGTGGCTTTGCTGTATGCTTTAAAATGTTCAGTGGTTGCTTTGTTATGGGACAAATAGTTTGTCTGTACTGGATAACCCAGGGCTGCTGTTCTGTGTTTTCCACAATGACACTGAAAAAACAGATGCACCTGAGTATACTCATTCTGCATGGTATGTGTCGCTCTTACTGTATAGTGTAGGTCCCGTAAGTGCCACAAGCATCATCTTGCTCAGAACATACTTTCTTCCTTTTTAGTGGAGTTTTATGTCAGGGTAAACATTCTATTTGTTGAAATGTGAGGCTGTTCCTGATGCTTCTTTGAGGAATCCAGAAATACTCAGGGGTAGAAATAGAAGCACAAATGCTTTTTTAAATCTGTCGTGTTGCAGTCCGTTGCAAACAGTGACCTGGGGCCTCTTGCTTGCATCTCTTCAGGTCTGGGCTATTTGCCTGCCTCTGTACACCTTGTGTTGTGCAGCATGCGTCAAGCCAGGTTACCTGGTACATGCACAGCTGTAAGTCCCATTTGACCCTTAACCGTAGAATGTGTAGACTGAGGACCACTGGCTTAGTGGAGTTTCTGTTCCATTGAAAAGTGAAGGGTTTTGGTGAAAAATTTTGTATTGCTGTGGTCCTTCACGATAAAGAGAACTTAATCATGAAGCACAGACAAATTCCCTAGAAATGTCTGGAAATGTATGGAACCTATTAAAGGGTCCTTGGTGGTAGCTTCATCCCAGAATGGTGAATCTTTATGCTTTTTTTTTTTTGCTTTTTTTTTTTTAATTAAAGATGAACCAAAGCTGAAGGCTTGCCTCTAATGTGTATCTCAATTTCAGTACACAGGAGAAGTAGTCTTGGTAGCTGAGAGCATGCAGGGAAATGTTCCAGTGCAAATAAGTAACGCTGAAATTATGGCAGGAAACTAAGGTCAAACTTGAGATTGCTATGAATAACAGGGTCTAGCAATTCTGAAGCCATTAATTGGTGGGAATTGGCTGCAGAATTGGGGTTGTGTCACCTGGTAGAAGTGACTGTAATTAGGCTTAAAATCAGTATCAGTGCCAGTTAAACTGACCTAATAAGCTAAAAGAAACTTGCAAATAAACTGAGTAGTATGTGAATAGTAGGATCAAAACCGCCTGCATTGGGAAGGCTCCAGACTTCTAAGTAAACAGCAGCTTCCTCCTTCCCCTACTGCTCTCCTTTATTGCTAAGCTGAAGATCTAAAATGTGCCTCCTGCTGTTGCTGTCCCTACCTACTGTGTACAGCTTAACAACAGAACCAGCAATTTCACTTCCTTTAGAATATGCAAATTATTGTACCACTGAGATGTCCTGTGCTGCAAAGGAAATAAAGCATCTGCTTTATGCTGAGCATCATTAGAGCTAGTGGGTAGTCTTGAAGGATGACTTAATTAAGCATTCTCCTTACTAAGCAGAGGAAGGAGAAAAGCTTTAAGATTTTTGGTTGTTTTGTTGGGTTTTTGGTTTTTTTTTTTCCACTCTAGATATTTCTTCCTGTAGCATCTTTTTTTTTTTTTCTTTGACAGGAGTTCTGCAATTCATGTCTACTAGTATCTGTAATACTTCTCTTGAAGGTTGGTAGGCCATGGTCTCTTCCAGAAACCAGGAGTGGAGAAATGACTCTGCCTCCACATAGGGAAGCTTCCCTTCTGCTTCCCTTCTGATGTACTGGACATGTGTCCCTGGTTTGTTATGCTGTGACAACAGGTTGGGCTAAAAGATGGTTTAGAGGGAACTGAGGGCAGGGACCAACAGGAGCTCCTGGGCTCTTTGAACTCTGATGTACTCTTTTGTGATCCCAGAATCACAGAACATTAGGGATTGGAAGGGACCTTGAAAGATCATTTAATCCAATCCCCATGCCGGAGCAGAAACACTTAAATCATGTCACACAGGAACATGTCCAGGCGGGTTTTCAATGTCTCCAGAGGAGGAGACTCCACAACCCCCCTGGGCAGCCTGTTCCAGTGCTCTGTTACCCTAACTGTGGAAAAAGTTTTCTTAATTTAAGCAGAACCTCCTGTGTTCCAGCTTGCACGTATTGCACCTTGTCCTATCAGTAGATGTCACCGAGAAGAGCCTGACTCCATCCTCCTAACACTTAATCACAAAGGCTTGTTTACAAAAGTCCTTGGTGAGGGCACTTAAGGTACTAGAGGTGATGTTGCCCAGACTAGGAGGGAGATCCATGCAGTATCTCAGGTTGCCCTGCGTTGCCCATCCTCCAAGGCATTAGTGAAGTGCTGGTACTCTAGTTTCATTGGAGGGGTGCCTCAGGGCCCAGCCCAGCCCATCTGCTCTGAAACTTTGTGAATATCTAAAACCTGGTGTTGCCCTTCGTGTGCTCAATTCTGAGTCTCCCTTTTGAGATAGGAAAGTGTTCATGGCTGTGTTTCTCCTCAAGCTTCTGCCTGGGCCTGCACAGCATTCTTGCCCTGGAAAGGACAGGCAGAGCCCCTGGTGAATATTCCATTATGGGCTTTTATTTCTCAGAGCTTCTGCCAGGAGCAGGAATGTAAAACATGCTAACTTCAATGCTGCTGTTACAAACCAGTGAAAAGTGAAAAATATGCTGGGTTCTTTCTATTACTATAATACGTGGTTTACTGTGCAGGTAGAACTTGAAGGGCAGTGGTCTGTGTCTAAGATGTAAATGTCTTTATGAAGAAAGCTTTAGTTTTGCAGAGCCTTCAGAGTTACTGGCCTTCACTTCCAGCAGCAAGGACATGTGTGGTTATTTTAAAAATTGTATTTAATAGAAGAGCTTA